ACCACCCTTCACCCTCCGCCCCCCCCCCCCCCCCGACTGCTTCAAGAGTTCTTTCCTGTGATTTATCCTATTTACAGTCTAAGCTTCCCTCCCCTCCTACGAACTTAGAGCTGTGCAGTGATACAGAATCAAAGTCAGGAGCTCTCGCTTCAACTCTCTCAAGGTTCACCAGGTGCTGAACAAATTAAAAAGGGCTCAGAAACTCTAAAATGCTAGAAATACCAAGTTCAATTCTTAAATCAAGACATCTGTGTTCAAGTTAAGTTTTCAGCTGCACTTCTTACATTTGCTTCAGCTGAGAACACAGTGAATAAGATGAAAATCACTTCAGTCTCTTTTCAATTACTTGTTCTTATTCGTCTAGCAAGGAATCTAGAAGATCAATTCCAATACGTGTCAACTGAAGCTTCATGTACTAATGTTACTTTCAAACTAAAAAAACCCCACCATTAGTACAGGCAACAATCTAGTTTCTACAGCCAGAAGGAAGAAGTAGTATCACAGACTTGTGCATGCTGCTGAGTACTAGGTGTCCGCTTTGGAATGCATCAGCCCTAAAACTCTTGTGAGGTCTCTTCATGAAAGAGAACCCAGTTGAAAAATGCAGGACTTCTCACCACTGATTTCTGCATTTTAGGCTATTTTGACACAGACATCCTTTGTTTATGTACTCTCTAGACATCTGAGCTACACATCATGCATTTTTTAGTAAAAGTTACACAAGTCAAATATGATATAGACTAATGAGGCTATTTCTACCAAAGCTGACAGAACAGTTAAAATGATAATAGTTAGCAGGTGGTGTTAGGTGGATTTAAATAAAAATAGCCAGTAAGTCAAGAATTACTCAGTTTTAATGGGTGGGAGTAATTATGTCTTCTGAGTCATCTTATTTTCATATGATAAGAACCAAACAGATAAGAAATGTGGGAATGTGATCCATGTTAAAGTAAATTCTGTAATAACTCTAGGCAGTAGTATACATAGTAAACTGACATCAACAGACCACATGAATTTTAGTGAAGGTCAGATTACATACATAAGGCATGCAGCTAGACCGATTGACTGTTGTTACCAAGATGGATCTATTATCAGTTTTGCCCACTGTAAGAGGGTGCAGGGGTAACTGGTTCTAGCACCTTCTAAGCAGTGAAAACTACTAGAAACGTATTACTTGGCTTTCCAGGAAGATCTACTAGGCAAAATATATTAAAAACAAGAAAAAAAATTGACGTGCATTTCTGATCAAGGCTTACCATCATCTGGTTTCTTCACAAATTTCACTCCTAGTTCTTCAAACCTCTTGCAAGCTTTATGGACATCAGGGACAGCAATTCCAATGTGTCCTATGCAACAAGGTAAAAAGAATTAAGTACATTGTAAGTATTGCTAGGTGTTCTACAAAAGAGTTCACGTTGTAGTTCACATAAGATATGACTGTATATGAGAAAAGCATTGCTTCCAGAAAGAGCAGCATTTTGGGTATTAACATTATTCTCCTTGAGAAAGTTGGCTTTTTGATAATGCCTTTTAAAATAGGAACTTTAGAGTTAAAATATCTCATATTGTTTAGATAAGAATATTATCTATAGTAGGAAAAAATAAGATTTTTCAATCAAACTCTATCTGTATTTCCTTTCTTGAAGCATGTCCACATAACAGGATTTTGTTGCATTTGCTCAGTTAAACAGTACAAGGAGTCTATCATTAATGCTGTATTTGTAGAGACTAACACTATGCAAGGTCTGAGCTTACAAATCAATTCAGAAGCTTTAAATGTCAAGTGACTAGACTATGAAACTTATTTCACAAGCCAGTGACCTTTCAAGCACTGAAAATATCAAATCGAGCCACACAAATACTATCCTCTGTGCTACAGAGAAACACAATTCTCCTTCTAGCTTAAAATGGGTAACCAGTGGATTATAAAATAGAAATCCAAATGTAAATCAGTCTAAACACCATGATAATCTGATACACAAGAGCAATTACTGTTCTTCATTCAGTAGTTACTATTAGCATGCTTTTGCTTGCCAAAGGATTAGATTCTTTATAAAAAGTGTAACTGTGGCTCATTACTTTGAAACATATTTGTTTACCTATTTTCACGATCTTTCGCAGCATACACGCTGGAAGAAGAGAGGTAGAGGATGAAATGCAAGTCCCCTTCTTTCCTAGCGCTAGTATGTTTTCTTCAAAGTAACCTCCTAGAAAAGTCTTTTCATCCATGCAAGTTTAAAATATCATCTCTGCTAGTTCTCATAAAAATAAAGCCTACAGTATATACTTACCCAATAACCTTTGCACAGAATTCATATGGATGTTTTCTAAAAAACATTTGAAACTCCATTTTTCCCCAATACACAAGAGAAAAAAAGTAATCACAATAAACCAAAGCTTAAAAACTACAAACACAAAACTGAAGACTTACCAAATCCTCGGGGATCTGAATTGCCATTGTGATAAGACTGATTTTCATCATTTTCAGTGCCCCAGTTGCTACAAGAAGTAATTATTACATATTGAAGAAAAGCATCGAAATTAACAAATCCTAAATGTTCAGTTTCCTCAGGAGGCTAAGCTGCTTCTCCTAAGAAACCAGAGAATTTCAGCTGTTGGCTGCATTCATTAAACTATCGAGATTTTCCCTAGTCACAGGTCCTAGAGACAGTCTCGGGGCTAATCCAGCCATGTTCACAGCCCTTCACTAGCATTCAGGTTCTACATTCAAATGAGTCAGGGACACGCCTGTCTCATTCAGATTAGAGACCATGAGTCAGTTTATCTACACATCACTGGGGAACAAACAGTGAGGGTAGCAGGTCCTGAAGCCAAGCAAGACAGTGGGGTATCTGGGAGGTTCTTTCCGCACAATTACAATGATAGCATTAACCAAATTGTCCTGTTTACGGGAAGTGTGTGTTTTGACTTAATACCTCTTTTGAATCAGATTCCAAAAGCAATAGTTACCCATTATTAGGATGCTCTGGGGATCCAAAGGAAGTTCTAACCACATTGGGTTTTCCCAGATTCTGTGGCTTCCCTACCTAGATGGCATGCATACTCAAATACAGCAAGTGTTATTTCGTGTTTATGTTCCACTGTTCACCTAGCAATTTGAAAGAGCTCTGGAAAGAGAAAGATTACACTTGCCAAGTATCCAAGATCTCAGCTGTATTTTAAGGCTACATGACAGTGAAGATGTTTCCACAGTAATGATTACATTTTTTATTCAATCCAACAGGATTTACACTCACCCACTTCTGCTTAATCACTGTTAGCTAAATGTCATCTCTAATTATATTAATACTTACTGCGTCAGTTCAAGCGTAGCTTTTCTAGAGAAGGTCCAAGCTGTTCTCTCAGTTTTATCTTTCGGGATATCATTTTTATCTTCGTACGCCAGGAAATAGAGCGAGAACTTCATAGTAGGAAAGTCAAATTTTTGAAGCAGTCTAAATGGCAACAATTATTTTGAAATAGTAACTTAAAAAGGTCATCAGGTAGCTTCCAAATAAACCAAGATATTTCCCCTATGGAAGAATTATTGCTGTGATCTTTTGCCTTTCTGACTGTAATCCACATCTTAAAATAGCTACATTTTGAACTATCACATAGAAACATTCCAGAACACATTACAAACCTACAAAAATGAGAAGAATCAGATGCTTAAGAGCCAAACTATCAGTAACTGAATAGCAAAGCCAGTACAAAGGCTCAAGACTTGAGGTTGCCACTCTGTTACTTGCCCGTATTTCCTCAGGAAGATCTTTATGTTTATCCACTTTAAAATATCACCAAGGAATAAGATGATTTACTTTGAAACTTATTCGTTCTGGGGAGCTCACTGGCACCAGGCAAAGTTTAAGAACACAGCAGGATTAAAAAACAACCATACCTTTAGATGAAATATTCTTACAATTTCAATAAACAGAAGTGGATGATGTATAATGATAAAATCCATTGCAAATGTGACAATTTAATCAACTAAAAATACTTGAGGTGAGAAAAAGCTGCTTATAAAATTTATCCCTTTCCTAGATGCAAGAAGTCACCCACTTTCCTGTGAAATATTTGATACATCTCGATTTTCACCTAATTTCCAGAGATGGTGTGGCATACTTCAAACCATTTTTATGTAGGATGTTTAACCAGAAAAAGTAGGCATGCAAAACAAATCTAATTTCCTTTTCAGCTTACTAGGTATTTAATTTTTATTTTCTCACACCCGTATCTTCACTAAAGTGGAAGTAGTTTATTTTACTTTAGTCTGGCCTGATTTCAAGGTGTTTAAAAATATGCTAGAATTTTGTTTTGAAATAACTCATTTCAAATGTCAAGAATGTGCACAAAGCGTTAGCATAAACACGTTAGGCTACTGCAGGGCATCTGCCTCCTAACAGCTTTCTCCAAAAGACTGAGTTTGGACCTTGTCTCCAGCTTCCATTGCCTTGGTCTCCTATGACCGGAGGTGGTCATAAGCCACCTCTGAGAACTAGTAGAAAACTTAATTTCAAGATTTATAGCAATGACTCCTGATTATAAGCACTGTCATAAAAGTTACCAGTTATCTGCAGGCTCAGTGAGGAGGAAGTAAGCAAGTTGTACACTGATAATTAATGACCTATTTAAGAAACAAAGAAATTTCTAGTCGAGGCCAGCATTAGTTCATTTGCAGCTTAGGCATTAATCATGCTGTGGGAGTTCTCAGAGATTGCCAGACTGTCCAACTGGGCATCAGCTGATGGGCCAGCACTGATTACGTAGTTAGACCAATTAGTATAATTACATCAAAATAACAAAAACTTTTCAGAAGAATAGTAGGAAAAAACAAACTTATTGTGGCATACAACTTCTACTCACGTCATTCCAAGAACTCTTGTATAAAAATCCAGTGACTTCTTCGGATCCTTTACTCTTAACATTGTCTGCTGCAACAAAAAATCCTGTGGGGAAAAAAGATTTATTATTTATACATCAACCAGAATTTAATTATGGGCATTAACAAAGATGCCAGTTAACAATGAATCTAAAACTAGCAGGTTTAGAAGTGACAAATAGAGTACTACGTTAAGTGTAAATAAAACCTTTTGTCCTGATCGTACACATACAGATTTGTTAAATAAACAAGCCTTTGTAACATAATGTTTAAAACAAATAAACGATACCACCACTGGTATCACTCAATATATATTATCAGCAGTATCAAAAAAAGGGTATCATTCTTATCTTTATTGTTCTTTTATGGAGCTGTACCACACATGAACCACTTTGCATGCAAGCACACTAGGCACGTGAATATTTGATATTGGGCCTCGCTGCAGACACAGAGATTAAATAAAGCTAAACTCCTGAACTCATCATATTTATTATTTCATTGCACAGGCATTGAATTTCTGTCCAGCTTGATATCTTGGCAACAAAACCGGCCTGCAATTCTGTAAGGGTATTTTCCTCAAGCCACAGGGTAACTTTATATACCAAGGGCTAATGAACAACTAAGTGGATGAAAAGTGAATGGTAGGATAGCCTTGACAGATATATTTTAAAAAAAAAGAGCCCAGATGTAGCACAACTGAAATGCAATTACAAAGTTCTCCTAATAAAAACTAAAGCAGTTTGGGGTGTTTCGGTTTTTTTTTTCTGCAACCCTGGCATGTGCTGGCTGAAGAGCCCCGCGGCCGAGCGCTGAGCGGGCGCTGGTTCTCCTCAGCTCCAGCCTGGCCGACGCTCAGTGCACCAGCACAGGCAGCGACCCGGCTGAGTGCGCCATGGCGGGCCTGGACGGGAGAGGACAGGGCCTCACTACGACCGGCCCGGCGGATCCACCACCCTCACCGCGAAACCGAGCCCGGCTG